CTATGGAAAGTGTTCCACCCAAAAATATGAGCCCTTTCCCTTAGAAGTTTTCACTCTTGCCAGAGCTGGTGGAGTTCCCTTGCTAAAGTGTTTACGTAGGTTTGGAAGGAGACACCTGCAAAACTGAGTGAGATTGCACACTGGACACGTTCTTTCCCCTTCTCTGGGTTTTCAGGATCCCTTGGAGCCACCTCCTGGGGTTGATGTGGAGGGAGAACACTTGGGTAACTCTCAGCCTCTCCAAGTGTGGTCCTGGACCACAGCAGAGGCATCAACTGAGAAGGGGTTAGAAATGGGAATGATCAGACCCCACCAAGGTTACTGAAATAGAAATGTGTGCTTTTGTTTGTTTGTTTTAATGTGTTTTTATTTATTTTTGAGAGAGAGAGGAAGGGAAAGAGAGAGAGAGAAACATCAATCTGGGCTTGTGCCCTGACTGGGAATGGAACCGAGACCTCTCAGTCCATGGGACAAGGCTCCATCCACTGAGCCCACCGGCCGGGCTAGAAAGGTGTGTTTTAACAAACCTTTCAGGTGGTTCTGAAGCAAGCCAAGTCTGAGACCCCCACTCTACATGAAGCCCTGGGCCCACTCTCTAAATCAGCACACTTTTCTCTGCAGTGAGGAGGCGGCCACTCCCCATCTGTGCCCAGGCAGAAGCGCTGTCAACGTGCAGACTCGCCGTCTCCCACTGGGCGCGCCGTGCTCCGCTGACTTGCTTTGCACACTGACTAAGTTCTGACAATCGTCAGACAGACTGAAGTCACTGCCAAACCTTCCTGTTGGCAGTAACACCTTCAATAAAGGCCTTCAGCTACTTCATTTTCATACGCCTGTTTATTGTATTCAGAAGGCTATTAAGAAGGGGGGCAGGGTGGAATGTACCTAGCACAGCTTCACCCAGGGCAGAATCGCAAGGCATCTCTACCTGGGAGTGTTTAAAGGGGCCAAAGTTTCTAGAACATTCAGCAGACCTGCTCTTGGAGAAGTATGCTCAGTACATCAGTAGACATGAGAGGAAAAATAAAGAGATCAACATACCAGGTAATAGCTTGGTAATGATCATCACTGACAAAATTGTATTGGTTTTGCTTATTTATTTGTAAGACTTAACAAGTGAAACATGTTTGGACTCCAGTGGGCAAGCTGCAGGGTTTCTGGGGTGGTGTCCTGTTTAATTTTTGGAGTGCCAGAAAGTGTACTGAACATTTGCCCTGAGTGCGTTTGGTCTGTATAGTGTCATTGCAGAGGGTGCCCGAGGCTACTGCGCAGCGTTTCTGTGTTCAGACAGACTGGGAATTCAGGAGAGTGGTTTCTCCCTCATTCCCTCCATCTTCTACTCCCCCTTGCTCGACAAAGAGCTTGGAAAGTCTTGATCATAACCAGGCGGAGACACGGAGGCCAGCGTGAGATGGGGGACTCGCTCCTGGACTTGAGCAGGTTCAGAGCAGGAACTGGTGAAGGGTCAACGCATTGTCCCTCCTCAGGGCAAGTCAGATCACCTACCGCAGAATATGGGGGTGGTTTGGTAGGTTGTTAACATTATCTAATTTATTTTATTAAAGGGGCATCTCAGTAACTAGGTAAGTTTTTAAGTCATCCACCAAATTATTGAGAAAATATTTTAGCACATTCCATATTAGAGGAATTATTGGAATACTGGTAGAAAGGACACATTTTCAGTGGAGTAATCAGTTGGCTTGAATTATAAAAGGCAACACAAGATGTCTGGCCAGGAGAAACAGCTGTGCTCCCAAAGAGCAGTCACTGCCTCTGCTGATTTAAGAATTCAGTCTTAGGCATGCACCCGGTGTTCAGTGCAGCGTTATTTACAACGGACAACACGTGGAGACAACCCGAGTGCCCATCAGCAGATGAATGGATAAAAATGGGGTGGTACATATACATAATGGAATATTACTCGGCTATAAATAAAAATGAAATCTTACTATTTGTGACAACATGGATGGACCTAGAGAGTATTATGCTAAGTGAACTAAGTCAGTCAGAGAAAGACAAATACCATATGATTTCACTTATATGTGGAATATAAGGAACAAAACAAATAAACAAACAAAAGAGAAACAGACTCATAGATACAGAGACCAGGCTGATGGTTGACAGGAGGGGAATTGGGAAGCTGGGTGAAAGAGGTGAAGGGATTAAGACGTACAAATTGGTAATTACAGAATAATCATAGGATGTAAAGTACAGCATAGGGAATATAGTCAATAATATTGCAATAACTATGTGTGGTGCCAGGTGGGTACTGGAAATATCAGGGGGACACTTTGCAAAGTGTGTGATTGTCTAACCACTATGCTGTACACCTGAAACTAATACAAAATAATATTGAATGTAAACTGTAATTGAAAAATTAAATTAAAAAAAAAAAGAATTCGAAGTCTTCAGGATGGCTCTCAGCATACCAAGATATGTACTAATCTCCCCAGAATCTCTGGAGGTCTCGATCGCTGCATGCTGGGGACTCCTTCACCCTCCAGTGTGAAATGTGTGGAACTTCTTTAATCCAGGTGTGAGCCTTGCCCAGGATGGGCAGTCAGGGTCTTTCTCTGGGGAGTTTGGATTTGAGCAAAGCACGTCAGTCTAGGAATCAAGGTGCATAAACTCAAGTTTTATGGGAAACCCTAAGCTTTGAGAATGTGAGCAGCAGATCTGCAGAGAGGAGAATAGAGGACACTAGGTGCAGAGAGATGAGAACCCCTGACTGATCACCTTCCAGTGGCAGGTTCTGTTTCCTCATGAGGCCCTAGTATACTGCTGGGTTTCTGGAGAAAACATCACACCTTTATAATGATTTGCCATTGTTATCTCTGACATTAAGCTAACTTAAAAAGCATTTTACTCCTTACAGCCTCCTAGGTTAGACTAAGATGGGGGAGGGGAGGTCCCCAGTTTTGGTCTCCCTATAAGCTGACAATATTGCCCTACATTTAAAAATGGGAGAAAGTCCAGGAAGACTCTGGGCAGTTCCATGCGGAGTATTCCAAGCTAGATAATATACTGATTGCTATGCATGCATGCTACTTATTGAGGGGCAGATGCTCTGCCTACACTCTCATTTCATTGCCCCAGTCTTATGGTGAGGCTTCTGGGCGGTTAATGGAACTTGCTGAGGACACAGAGATGGCACATGGTCGAGCCGGGACTGGGGCTGCGGATCTCCCGGCCATGCAGGGCAGACTCCAGCCCAGGCCAGCCATGGACATAGCAGAGAGGACTTGGCTCAAGGGGCTAATTCAGAAGAGCTCTCAGGGATGACTTTGTTTTGGGCAGTGAGTGAAGAGGGAGCTGTGTGAGTAAAGAGGGGTGATTGAGAAGGGGGTCAGTCTAGCTTGTTCGTGAGCAAGCATCCACAGTGATTCACGCCACATTCGCGTGTGTCCTTAACGTTCCGTAGCTTCCCGGGAGCTGTGAGAATGGCAGAGGGATGTTGCCACAGGCCTTTCCACAGGCAGCTCTTTGACGTGAGAGGCAAAGCCCTTTTCCAAGACACAGAAGTGGGGTCTGCTTTTCATGCCTGGCACTTACCTGAGGAGCCATATGGTACCCATCTCTGATGGGCTCAGCACCAGCTTCTAATTCCAAACTAACTCATCATCTGGGCTTTTATTTCTTCTCTGGGAGAGTGCTGGTAACCTGTGGGCGGCTGCAGAACCTGGAGCGGTTCCTTCCCATCCCGGGACGTGGCTTCCTGCCAGGTGCCCTTCGGGAGCAGTTGCAGGGGCCCCGCCTCCCAAAGCCAGCTAGTCTAGGACAAGAAGTCTGTTTATGGTTGCCTTTGGAATTTGATTAAGGGAATGATATGCACATGATGGTGAATGGTTACGATTATTTGTTACGAAAATAAAGATGGCTTTCCCATGTTTTTAAGGCCTTGTCATTGCAAAGCTTTTCTCCCTTCTCTTCTAACACTTACGACTTCGTTTCTGGAGATCAAAGTAGACACAGCTTTTGTAATTTTTCACCCCAGCATTTCCAAAACATGTGTGCGCATCCAAGACTCCTTAAACTCGGAGAATTAGACCAAGTTTATGGAGTGTAACAAACAGGATGAACTTAGAGCCCCTTTCTTCTCTGTTTTGTTGAATGAATGCCTCGTTTCAGAAGACCTGGTCAGGATGCTGCTGAGATAGTTGAAAAGTATTTTCCATGATGTCATCTGAGCTTGTGGGTCTGTCGTTGATTTTTGTTTGTTGTGTTGTGTTTGTTTGTTTTTGTCTCTCCTATATAATAGCATACATTCTGTTTCGGTCAGTTTTTCTTTCCCTAGTTTTACATTCATCTGGATGGTAGAATGTTTTCTTTTCACGGGCAAAATTAGATGCTTGGTGTTAGGGTTAACTGAGCCTTAGAAAGTACAAGAATCTGTCCTGACTGTCATAAACAGGAGTATTCTTGGATGTACAGAAATACTCTGATTAATGACGACTTTTGATGACACGCTCTGTATCCCGGAGTCAGTGGCTCTTTTTCTGACAGATGGGAGCTGCTTCCAGTCTTCACAAAGGGCGCGAGACCTGGAGGGCTTTTGTGTAGGTGGAGGCTGAGGGCCCTAGAGTTTGCTGAGTGCCAGGAGCTGGCTTTGAGTCCAGCGCTGCCAGGGCAGGCACTGGCACATCCCGAGGGCTGGGAGGCCTGCTGCGTGCTGGAGAAGACAGAGAAAATGGTAACGTCAGCTCTCGGGAGCCTGCGAGAAAGCCCTACCCTCCGGGTTCGCCAGCGTGTTTGCCGATTTCTCTTTTTCCAGGAGAATTTGCTGGCTTTTTTTTTTTTTTCTTTAGAGAGGGAGAAAGCCCCCAGGAGGTGGGGATTCCGGACTCTTTCTGTAAGGATGAATGTCTCTGCCTGCAGTGAGAAGCGCATGCTGTGCGTCCACGCGGGGTGGGGACAGTGGGGAGCAGACTGTGTCCTGCTGGGGAGGTCCTCTTCCCCGGAAGTGGGAACGGGCCAGTTACCTGTGCGATTTCCATCTGCAGGTTCACCAGTACTACAGCTGTCTCCCAGAAGAGAAGGTCCCTTATGTCAACAGTCCCGGGGAGAAACTGCGCATCAAACAGCTATTACACCAGCTGCCGCCACATGACAATGAGGTAAGGGGCTGGAGGGACCTTCCGAAGACTTGTCTTAGAACCTTCTCTGAATCGCTACCTTTCCACAATTACAGTGCTGTGATCAGTGAGATCTCCGAAGGAAAACTCTGGCAATTTAGCTCAGGTTTTAGCTTCCTTAATTAGAGCCAAAACAAACTGTCAGACACCTTCTGGAGAGTGTTACCAAAAAGCAAAATCTCACTATGGGCTGGATTCGCCCCTGCGCCTGGCGCTGCTAGCCCTTTGGGATTAACCAGGGAGCACTGAAATTTAAAGGGCAAGTCCAGGTGTTCTTAGTGGAAGGAGAATGCGCGAGGCTGGTTTCCTGAGCTTGTGAAACGATGGAGAGTCTCTGGGCCAGTTCAAACCCCGCCAAACTCTGTGACTCAAATCTTTAGCATCGTCTCATGTTAAAGGAGTGAGGCCATTTCCCATGCCATGCGGCAGCAGAATGTGTGTGTCCAGATTCACAGCTCTGGAAACCTGAGTTTTTGTCATTTAAAGTCCAACTTGCTAAGGTCATCCGCTGTACCCTTGAAAGTGTGGCTGGCGGGCTGTCCTTTGTCTAACGCAGACCCACAGCCCGGTAAGCAGGCATTTCTTACCTTTAAAGATAAATTGGTCATAGAGGAAAATTTGTAAATATGCTTTTAAAAGATCATCTCGTTTGAGGGGTTTAAATTTGTAAACTAGAAGTCAGTGTTTAAGTATCTGGTGTGTAAAAATAGTAATCTCACAGAATTGAATTGTCCACGGAACTCTGATTGCACTTTAAGCAAAAACATAATTTTCTGTTGAAAAGAGCAGTAACCCCTTTAGAGACGGAGACACCAGCCAGATCCCAGGGGAAATGACTGAGTGCTTTTTTTAGTCTTTACCTTCCCACATTTGAAAGAAAAAGGATAAATCAGGAGCCATCAAAATGAATGTGAATAAGTGGAGCAAAAGTGTATACACTAAAGCCACTCCTAGAAAGAGAGCCAGGGTTCCCTGTCCTATAGTTCATATCAGGCTTCATAAAAAAAAAGTATAAATAATGCTTTTGCTTTAAAACTGAACGCAAGCCTTGTAACCTGATGCCCAGTTAGCTAATTTGTAAGTGAAAATGCGGGTTTTTACAAGTAGGAGGGGTGTGCCTTTCCTTAAAAGCTTGTCCATAAAATGTCAGTGTTGTGACCATTTATTTGGGGCTGTTCAGGTCCCTGCAGCTCTCCCTGGGACGTCCACATGAAGGGGTTTCTTTTTCTTTTAACGGCTTCTACATGATAGACCTGATCTGCTCGTTTTTGCTTTTCATGGTTTATTCTGTTTAAGGTTTAACTGGTTTCATGAAAAGAGACCTTTCAAATGCCTTCTTCCTGTGGGTGAGGATTCCACACATGTGACCCAGTAGGCAGATTTCACCCATTTGACATGGCCCTTTGGAGAACAAAAGGTGATGCTAAAGTAAACATTTGATGGTTCTTTTTTTTCACCCAGAGAAGACCATTCTGATACCTACAGCTAGCTGCCTTGGTTTTCTAATTAGGATGCACCAATCTAGTTCAAAGGGTTCCCTGCAACCATCTGGATGACAAATCTTGAGCATTTCAGTTAACCTTTCTGATGCTCAGATTATTCCAAAGTGAGATAGGCGATGGGGTTAGGACAGTGTTTCCCAAAATGTGGTAGATGCGGGACTTTAGCTGAAAGACAAACAAGGCAGTAAATAAAATTGCACCACGTAATGAGAGAATCACTTCCTTTTCTATTGTATTTCATTCCTCGTGCTTGACCGGTTGAAGGATGAAGGGGGATTTCAGTCTGGTGCTAGCATTGTATCGTACTTCTCCGAATCCTCCGGGGTTCCACTTCGAAGCTGCAGCATTAGGAATGTGCATTTCAGGATCTCCCAAAAGCAGAAGCAGCCAGGGAGAAGCTGACAATGTGGTATTGTTCTCACTCTGTTTAGTTTATGGTCACCCTCTGTTTTTTACAAGTAATACTGATTTTCCATTTATAATCATAATATACTTTCTTTTTAAGTAAACATGTTTAAGTTTTTAAAAGAGAGTCCATTTTAAAACAGTATTACATAAGTAATAGCTTAAGACTATGACAGACCTCTCAAGGTGCACAGACATAGGGGAGATGGGAACACTGACCGAATGCCGTACCGTCCCTCCCGTCCTGGCGCGTCCGTCTGACGGGAAGGGGCGCATCGTAACGCAGGCGGACGCGTTACCCACAGCCCAGGCGCAGCTTTCCTCACAGAGGAGCAGGCAGGGACCCCCAGGAAGCAACACAGATACTTTTGAGCCAACTCTTCAGCCTCAAGCCTTTGTTCCCCACTTTCCCAATAATGAGATGGGAGAAGGGAAGCATGAGCCCGTGGGCCACAGTCTGGCTCTCTGGCCGGAAGCCGTCCATTGGTGTCAAAGACCAAAGACCACTTTCGTGGGCACGTGGGCATGAAAGTCCAGGACGCCACAATCGATGTGAAGATGCAGATCCATTTGAAAGAAGGAGGAAGCCCTAGATCGGGGATTTGAGTCTTAGTGTGTGAGCAGAATGGGGCAGGGGGGATGAGGAGCGGCCTGGGCTCCCGCCTGTAGTAAGCCGTCCTGGCTGTCGGCAGTCTCAGGTGAGAGTCACTGAGATGTCCCAAGTCCAGTGGTGGTGAAGTGCAGGCCAGGACCATAACCCAAACAGGAGCATGTTGAACGAGAAAACTGGGCCTGGGCTTCAGGAACCCTTGGGGGCAGCCGCGACCCCTCCACGCCATCCTCTGTGTCTGTTCAGGTCCGATACTGCAACTCCCTGGACGAGGAGGAGAAGCGGGAGCTGAAGCTCTTCAGCAACCAGCGGAAACGCGAAAACTTGGGCCGAGGGAATGTCAGGCCCTTCCCAGTCACCATGACAGGAGCAATTTGTGAGCAGGTGAGCATGCGTTCCGAGCGCCAGGGGGATGGCCCTGGTTCACTTTTCTCAGCGGCTCGCTTCACGGTCATTGTATTGAGTGCTTTGGGCCAGGCACTCTCCCGGGCAGGAGGTGTAGCAGGGAACAAAAAATGTCAGAGCTGGATCTTGCCATTGTAAGGACTTATGTTCTAGGGGCAAAGTCAGACAATAATGTAGGAAGTTAGAGAGAGGAAGAGCCTGGAAGACGCCCCCTTAGAAGGTGGCTTCTGAGCCAGATGAGCAAGAGCCGAGAGAGAAGCATGCGGCCTTGGGGGACGGGCGGTGGGGGCAGAGGGCACAGGCCGCCCAAAGGCCCTGAGGCAGAAGCATTTCTGTCCTGTTCTCCAAATGACCAGTTGGCCAGTGTGGGGGGCAGAGGGCACGGCGGAGGAGAATTGACCAAGGACCAGGTCCTGGGGAGTTATGTGTCCAGCAAAAAGAGTGAAGCCAAGGAATGACCTATAATGGATTTCTATTCTTAAATGAGTCCTTTAGGAAGTGGGGTTTGCCTTGACCGTGGGTCGGCCTCTTTCCCAGGATCATCCCAGGATTATCCCAGGACCCGTGACATTTAAAGGTGGTAAATGATCATCTTCTTGGTTTGAGGGTTCTTCAGCAAAGCCCATGAAGCCACTGCATTCTCCATGGGGCCTCACGGGGTTGAAGAGTCTGGCTTTATTTTTTCCTATCTCCTGTAGAGTGCTCAGGGCGTGGCGGAGGAGGGTTTCAGGGATAGCAGGACAGTGGGGATTGCCCTGGCTCGCATGGCCAGTTGGTTGGAGCATTGTTCTGCACACTAGAAGGTGGCGGATTTGATTCCCCATCAAGGGGGTGCCCAATCGATGTTTCTCTCTCTCTCTTATTCTCTCTCTCTCTCTTTCTTTCTCTCTCTCTCTTATTCTCTCTCTCTCTCTCTTATTCTCTCTTTCTCTCTCTCTCTTATTCTCTCTTTCTCTCTCTCTTATTCTCTCTAAGATGAATTTTTTAAACAAGAAAGAAAGCAAGCAGGGCGGTGGGAATCCAGCCTGTCTGCGTTCACCCTGCCCTCCTCTTAGATGCCAAAAGCCTTCCGGTGCTGAATGTCATTTTCCGCCCTGCTGCTCCTTGTACAGGCCCATCTAACTGCTTAAGCTCTGAAGAGACCCATTCAGGTGTTGAAGATATGTGAGCCGAAACGGTGAAGAGGAAGCGAGATAGTACCTGAGGGGACTGGATGCCGTTTGGGGGCTTGTGTGTGTGTGTGTGTGATGTCAGAGGGATAGAGAAGGTTCAGGAGGAGGGAATGACGACACTACTTAATAGGGGGGCCAGAGGGCCAGATTTTTGGCAGTGGGGTCTTCATCCTCAAGACCCACCCTTGAGATGCAGGTCATTGGTGGTTCAGATGTGAGATTCAGTGTGCTCAATTCAGAACCTTGGCCACTGTCAGGTCCTTCTCCGGGAGCCCGCCCAGCTGGGCTCACCTAAGACAGAAGGAAGGTTGGGCATTTTGTGGGCAGATTTCTAAAGTAGTAAAGAATCGTGATTCGAGCATGGAGGCCGAAAGACAGTCTGACTCATGTTTCTCCCAGATGACCTTGGCCATGTTACTTTCCTCAGTTGTGTCATCAGCAAAACAGGGGTAACAAATGCCTGCATCATAGAATTATGTTGAGATTAAATGGACTTCTATATCGTTAAAGTAATTAAACAAAGAGGCCATTAAAGTGAGGTGGCTCTAATACTTTGTATGTAGCCTACGTAAGCAAACCAAAACCTAAGCCAGAACCAATGTACTGGAATCCAAGAAAAGACCAACCAATCACAAACGCCAACTAGGCTTCCCCAAGTAAGGCAACGGCTTAAGTTACAGTCAATCAAATCCTTCCTTTCTTTGCTCCCACCTCTTCCCTATAAGAACCTCTCCCTGAGCTCCAGTCGGTGGAGTTCTGCTGACCACCTTCAGTTTGGTGCTTCCCAATTTGATTCAATATTTGCTCAAGTAAACCCTTGACATTTTTCATGTGCCTCGTTTATCTCTTAACAGTCTGCTACCCCAGTTCTTCTAATGTTATAAAAGGAAGGGTAGTACTTTTTGTAACATAATGTCTTTCTTTTGTCTAGTCACATATGAACGAGTTCCCAGAGACATTCCATGAGATCTTTACTTTTTCCATAAAGCATTTCAACCCATATGAGTTACATGAGGTGGGAAAGGTTTGGAGGAAGGTTTAGACATTGTTTCCAGAGCTCAGCCCCTCGTGTGGGGCAGAGTACTGGACCCTCAGGCTGGGAACCTCATGGCTAACGCCATGGTCAACAGAGAGCCTGTCCCTGGACCACTGCCTCATACTGTATTCCTCCCTCAAAGACCCTCAGACCATATTTGTTTGATCCCAACCCCAGCCATAAGCACAAGTTATCAGGGATTCTGCCTAGTTCCTTTCTGGATGAGGAAGGAACTTGGAATGTGAGTGAGAAGATAGGAGAGGGGAGAAGCCCTTTCCAGAGTCCGGTCTTAGAAGTGGTACCTTTTCCATCAAGATTATAGAAAAAGCTGGCAGAGGAAGCAGGCTAAAAGCATGCCTGAAAGACTTTCAGGGAAATAGCTAAAGGTGGGCATATTTTAATGAACCCACTGCCCTTATCATCCTACAGCCCCCTCCCCCACCCTCCGCACCCACAGCCTGCTCCTCCTGGTGTTAAACTTGGCTGTGCTCTGGATGGAGTTTGGAGGAGCTAAAAGATAATGAGACCTTCACTCTGTGTAAGTTTGCCTCCTGCCTGCGAGAGTTTTCCTTTCTTTCCCACCTTGGTGAGTCCTCATTTTCTCAGTTACTTTATCTTCGTCTTCCTTGTCAGCCCTACGAAAGGAGAGTGGAGAGAGGGCACCTATGTAAAGCTGGTAGCACAGGGCCTGGTTGGAAAATAACCCGCTCCGTAGTCAGCTGTTGGTGGAGGTGGTGGCGTTCATCACCTGTGATGGTCCTGAGAGGTGGGAGCCGGTGTCCACCTTTCCGTTTGTTTCACAGTGCGGAGGCCAAATCAACGGTGGGGACATCGCCGTGTTTGCATCGCGCGCTGGCCACGGCGTTTGCTGGCACCCACCCTGCTTCATATGCACCGTCTGCAACGAGCTCCTGGTGGATTTGATCTACTTCTACCAGGATGGGAAGATCTACTGTGGCAGGCACCACGCCGAGTGCCTGAAGCCGCGCTGTGCAGCCTGTGACGAGGTCAGTGCGCTCTCCACGGGGCGTAAGCAACACATTGTCCTATGGTTTCCTGCAGAGAAGAAGGCCACAGGCCACTCCGAGAGAGAGAGACAGACAGACAGACAGGCCCCAGGCATCCTGGTTGCTATCGTCCAGGACGTGGCCGCTTTACTGAATGCGGAGGTAGTCTCTCGGACATCCAGGCGGGAAGGCAGGCAGCTTCTGTAGCTGCGGAGACCACTGGCATTAGGTCAGTTCAGAATGCTATTGTGCAGCTTTAGATTCCAGCCCGAATCCCAGGGAGTGGTCATCAGTAATGAAGTGCCACTTACATCTTTAAAAGTTCCGATTTCCTGAGCTTCAAAGGGACAGATTGGTTTGAGAAGAGAAGAAAACTGGTAGCATTATTTAATTTTCCCGCAATTACAAAAGTTCTGATGAGGATTCAGGAGGCAGATGGATATTCCATTTGGAAACTCTGCCCCGCATTCTGAGAACTGGAATTTGCTCCCCAGAGGAAGAAAGCGAGGCAAGAACACCAGCCCAGGCCCGGTGCTTTCTCCCGCCGGAAGCACACCTAGGCATGATCTGGGAACCGGAAGAACAGAACACCTGCTTAACTTTAAAGGTTTGGAGCTTATAGCTCCATAAAAAATTTTAAGAGTTTGGAGCAGAAAGGGGAATGTTCTAAAGCTGACCATTTTTATGGGAATCATTTGGGAAAGGGTCTTGGACAGGGGTTTCCTCCTGCACAGAGTGGGTTTGGTTCTCTCTGACCCTATAAACAGAAATGTGGGATATATAAACATTGCTCCCTTTTCAGCCAGAGTTCACCATTACATGGGCATTTCTCCCTTGAAAACTGCCTAAGAGAGATTCACTTCTAGGAGGAAGTTGATGGCCTTAACTAATTTGGATTCTAATGCAAATGTGATGTTTTAGAGAGACAGGTAGCTGGGAAACTGAATTCGGGTCCAGCTCTGTGATTCTAGGCAACCACTTGACCTTCATGCCTCAGTTTCCACATCTGGAAACGCGTGCTCGTGATCAACATTATGCTATTTAATGGCAAACAGGGTATGATGATTTAAGTGCTTTGATGATTTTGTTTATTGAGATATTATTTGCACAGCGTAAGGTTCACCCTTTTAAGGTGTACACATTCAGGGATTTTTAATATAATCATGAAGTTGTGCAACCATCACTACTATTTAATCCCAGATCATTTGTATCGCCCCCAAAAAGGAAGTCTGTCTATTGGCAGAAACTTCCCTTTCCCCCTTTGCCCCTGGCAACCACTAATCTAGTCTCTACCTCTAAGGGTTTACATATTCTGGACATTTCATATAAATAGAATAATACAGTCTGTGACCTTGTGTGTCTGGCTTCTTTCACATAGCATGATGCATTCAAGGTTAGTCCATGTTGCAGCATGTATCAGTACTGTATTCCTTTCCATGGCTGAATAATGTTCAGTTGTGTGTATATATCACATTTTGCTTAGCCATTTTTCAGTTGATGGACATTTAAGTTGTTTCCACTTTTTAACTATTATGAACAATGCTGCTACGAACATTCATATACAAGTTTTTGTGTGGACGTATATTTTCCATTCTCCAGGAATGGAATTGCTGGGTCATATGAAAATTCTGTTTAATTTTTTTGAGGAAATCCAAAGTTTCTTCCAGAACAACTACACTTCACATTCCCACTGTCAACACCCGAGGATTCCAGTTTCTCCGCATTCTCAGTGCTTGCTGCCTGTGTTTTTGTTACAGTCAGCTCAGTGGGTGTAAAGTGGTTTTGATTTGCATATCCTTAGCGACTAATAATGTTGAGCAGCTTTTCATGTGTTTATTGGCCATTTGTGTATTTTTCTTCTTTGAAGAAATATCTATTTAGATCCTTGCCCCATTTTTTCCAATTAGGTGATTATTCTTTTCTTGTGGAGTTGTAACTGTTGTTTACATATTTTGGATATTAGTTTCTTATCAGATACATGATTTACGCGTATTTTCCCCCATTCTGTGGTTGTATTTTCATTTTCCTGATGATGTCCTTTGAAGCACAAAAGTATTTAACTTGGATGAAGTCCAATTTATTTCTTTTTTCTTTTGTTGCTTACGCTTTTAGTGTGTCATAACTAAGAAACCATTATCTAACCCAACGTCATGAAAATTTACCCTTGTGTTTTCTTATGAGCAGTTTATAATTTTTGGCTCTTTGGGTCTTTGATCCCCCTTGAGTTCCATGCAGTGTGTGGTGTGATCGGGGCTCTGACTCATTCTTGCCTGTGGACACCCAGTTACCCCATTTGTCGAAGAGACTATTCTTTCCCAATTGAATGTCCTTGGCATCCGTGTTTATAATTGGCCATAAATATTTGGGTTTGTTTCCTTCCTTCAGTTCTGTTCTGTTGATCCCCATATCTGTTTTCACACCAGTACCACACTACCTTGATTACTATAGTTCATAATAAGCTTTTAAATCTATGCTTTGAAATTTTAAAAACTCTGTGTTAAAGGTCAAAACACAAATGCTTCTGCGGGCTAGCAGATTTTACACACGAGGGTGGCTCTGTAAGGTAACAGTGAGTGGTGAAGAGTGTGACCCAACTGGAGAACTCGCCATTCACCTGGCCGGCAGCCCCTCTTCCAGCTCCAGCTACTGGGACCACGTAGGAATGTACACTGAGTGTTGCCAAATACGATATATTCAAAAGAGAAACCAAGATTCCAGGTGTTTGTGTGACATTTCCCAGTGTTCAAAAATACTGTGTATAGGCTAAACAAAACAGATATGTATGTTCAAAGTGCCCATGAGCTGTCAGTTTTTGGTCCTGCTTTACAGTTGAACATTCTTTCTCATTAAAATATGGTTAAACTAGCCCTGGCCAGTTTGGCTCAGCGGTTAGAGCGTCGGCCTGCGGTCCAGAGAGACCCGGGTTCGGTTCCCGCTAAGGGCATGTGCCTCGGTTGCACTTTGTCTCCGACCCTGGTTGGGTCGTGCGGGTGGCAGCCACTCGATGTGTCTCTTTCACATCGATGTTTCTATCTCTCTCTTCCTCTCTCTCCCTCCTGCTCTATCTGAACAAAAAATGAAAATATATCCTCAGGTGAGGATTTAAAAAAAAAAAAACTAAAAAAAAATATATATATATATATGGTTAAGCTAATTACAAGCCAGACCAGAAACCATGTTTAATTGTACTTTAGGCAAATCCAAGTGTGGGAGCTGATTTAGATATAGAATGAACATACACATAACCACTTTTGTTTAATAATGTGTGGGTGGGCCCTGGCCGGTTTGGCTCAGCGGTTAAAGCATTGGCCTGCGGTCCAGAGAGACCTGGGTTCGGTTCCCGCTAAGGGCATGTACCTCGGTTGCAGTTTGTCCCCGGCCCTGGTTGGTTGTGCGGGTGGCAGCCACTCGATGTGTCCCTTTCACGTCGATGTTTCTCTCTCTCTTCCTCTCTCTCCCTCCCACTCTATCTGAACAAAAAATGGGAAAATGTCCTTGGATTAGGATAAAAAAATAAATAAATAAATAAATAATGTATGGGTGGGCCTGCTTTCCCACCCTTCTGGTGTGGGCCCCAAGCTTCCCTCAGTGCATCTCGTGGCTGGGTCCTAACCATCTGGCTTCCCGTCTCCAGATCATCTTTGCTGACGAGTGCACCGAAGCGGAGGGGAGGCACTGGCACATGAAACACTTCTGCTGCTTCGAGTGTGAGACGGTGCTGGGCGGCCAGCGCTACATCATGAAGGAGGGAAGGCCCTACTGCTGCCGCTGCTTCGAGTCCTTGTATGCAGAGTATTGTGACACCTGTGCCCAACACATAGGTGAGGCAACGCTCGGGGCTCAGCTCGGTCCTGCTGGGACTGGACCTTCATTTGTCTGGTGTCTTGGAATCTGGTTGAAATGATGGAAACCCAGCTCATACTAGCTTAAGTGAAAAGGGGAATATCTCGGCTTATGTTACTATAAAGGCCAAGGAGTATGTTGGCTTTAGGTAGGGATGGATCAGAAGGTTTAAACAAAGTCTTTTTTTCCTCTGTGTCTGACCCCAACTTGTCTTCTGTTGGTATCATCTGGGAGCTAGCCGCCTTCTCACGGTGGTCAAGGTGACCCTCCAAAGAATACAGTCTTAGCACCTGGGTTCTGTAAAGGAGTGGGCTGTCTCTCCCAGTATCCAAGTCAGGCTCTCTGTATAGGAATCCCTTAGCCCTGGTTTGGTCACGTGGTCTGCTCTGGAAACAAGAGAATAAGGGATTCCTATTGGTCTGCCTGAGTCGTAGGCCCACCCCTGTGGTGGGGCTATGTGATGAACAGCCCCACTACCAAGGGGAGGGGGAGTGGTCTCAGAAAGAAAATCTAAACAGATGTCTTCCACTACCCCCCTGGAAAAACTCGAGTGTCAACAGAGGGAGGAACCAAAACAGTTTTCTTGGTAGGAAGGGATAGTCAAGAAAACCAAATGGTTTCTCGTAAGCATGTCTTTAAAAAAAAAAAAAAAGCTGACCCAGCCAAATACAAAGCAAGAGAACCTCAAATTACTCATAAGCTACAACTCCCCAATAAGTGGCAGATCAGAGATGATGAAAATCAGTTTCCCTTTGCCAACACTAACAATGCATTCACCCTCCAACTGTTCAGGATCATCCGTGGCTTCTTCCTTCAACGTGCCAGTCTGGCACCTTGAGAAAGAGTCGCCCTGTAAAAAGAAAAAGTTGGCAGTGGGTGAACTCTGAGGCCAGCAGCCTGGTCTTCCTGTGGTTTGTGCGATTCCAAGAAGTGGGCTCGGAAGCTGCCAGCGTCTTACCTGCCGTGGGTAGATGTGGAGATAGTCTGGGAGCCCATTTGCCCCACTTCAGAGATTTTATCAGGAACAGAGAGAAGTGGCTTTGTCTCCTTGGTTCATCAGAAGTGATTCAGTCAAATGAAAAATTAGCTAGTGATTTGGAGGGTGTTGATAAAAATCACAGCTTCGTGGACAAGGCACCTACATGTGCTGAGTGGTCCTTTGTTGCTGGGCGTCCGTCCCAAGCGACCTGCTTCTGAGGCCTTTCCGGGCGGGAGGCCCTGCTGTGCCCGCCTTCCTCCAGCAGCGTCCCCAGGGGGCCTTGAGTGATGCACAGATCCCCTTGCCCAGCCCCTAACCAGCTCGCTCTTGTGACCTGAGGCCTCAGCCAAGTCCAGCAGCTTTCGTTCTCACAGGTCGGAACAGTCAACGAGAATAAGCTTCCTTTTATAGTAAGAGTTGGGGAATGGGGACCTTGATGTGGACAGGTGGCTGGGCCCGTGAGGCAGGGTGGGGTGGACACTGTCAGGGGAGACAGTATGCTGTGGGCTCTGGGTCTGCTCCCTACGAGGGGCTGAGTGTGCAGAAAACTGCCCCAGCCGCGCTGGCCCTTCTCACGAGTGGTTCTGTGTCTCTGCCCCTTTCCACGGAGGCTTCAGAACGTCTCCAGAAACAGCCACCCAGAGTTTCGCTCAGTGTCACGGGAGAGAGAAAATCTGACCATCACCACAGCATGTCCACCTCAGAAAGCCTGTTTTACCTCTTTCTCACTTTGTCTAGTTATTCGAGAATGGTGATTGTCATTCCCTCTATTTTTCTCTTAAATCCATAAAAAGGCATTCATGTTTTACCAGAAGAGAGGACCTCTGTGGCCTACAGAATTATCACTGCTGTGCTTAAAATGCTGCCTCTGATTTTTTTTTTTGTTCTAAATCCACTTTCCTGTAAAATGTAATACCCTGCGACAGTGAGAGGGTATGATCTGTGTATCCTGCATACCACTGTCTCTGGGCGCTTTACTCTGTAGTCTACAAATATTCCATATTTATATAGCTGCTCAGCGCAGACCCCGCATCAGGCAGCTGTTGCTAGGGCAACGGTGCTTCTGCCTGCGCACAGCAAACAGTCCTCTAAGCAGGGCGGCTGGAGCTGCAGACATGGCCCTGGAGAGGTGCTCGAGGGCTCGAGGGGAAAGAGCACGCAGAGGTGGACCGGCAGAGCCCTTCTCCAGATGTGCAGAGTTCAGGAGCAGTTCAGGGCACCATCTGACTGTCGCTGATGTTTGTCAGGGACCACCTTCTGCTGCCTGCTGGGCCACTTTGTGACAAGCCTCCCCCCTCACTCCCCACCGGCCCAGCCTTCTGGGAGGCCCGTCCCCAGAACAGGGCCCCTGCTGCGCATCTGAGCGCCGGTCCCTCACAGAAGCGCGGAGAAGCAGCGGAGGAGGACAGGCGGGGACGGCCCTCCTGAGCGCCTGTGACAGGAAGCGGGGCGGCTGGGGACTGTGCTGAGCGGGACCCACAGGAAGGATCCAGGGCAGCTGGAAGGGCAGCCCGGGCTCCCTGGAGCAGAGCAGGAAAGCGAGGAGGGAAGACCAAGCAGCCCCAGAGTTCTCTCCTGGCCTGCGTCTGGGCAGGGCCCTCAGGTCCAAGGGGGAGACAGGCATTAAGACCTAATAAAAATACAAGAGCAGTGAGAATGGTTACAGCCATGGGGCTTAGCGCTCTCTGCATACTAACTCAGTCCATCCTCACAACATCCCTATGAAGTACTACAATTGTCTCCTATTTCATTATGGAGAAACTGAGGCACAGAGATGAAGCCACTTGCCCAGGGTCACACAGCCAGACAATGGCAGAACCAAGATTTGAACCCTGGCTGATGGACCTCAGCATCTTCACAACCAGCTGGAGTGGCAGGGCACTGGGATTTGAACCCGTGTTGGTCTGAGTCCGGAAGCCTCTCTCTTAACTGCTAGAGTGTTCTGCCCCCAGGTGCTCTGCCCGCTTCCTGCCAGGAGCCAGGATGGACTTGTGGGAGGAGCCTGCCCAGCCAGCTCTCCCTCCTCCTGGGAGTGCTGTGCGGAATGAAAGCCAGTGATTTCAGTCCCGCTGCCCTTGTGGCCCTTGTGACTGCCCCTGCCCCTCTGAAATTCCCTCTTCGTCCCTTAGGCCTGACTCCTAATGAAACCAAGCCCCTTAGCTTGGGGAGGAGCTAAGAGGAGAGGAGTGTGCCTTCTGCCTCTCCCTCCCTGGGCTCCAGCGACAACGGTGGGAGAGCACAGAGCAGCCCGAGCGGGCTCTGCTGTCTGCCTGTGTCCTTCTCTTCTCTCCGCCTCTCTGGACACGCCTCTGGAAGTTATTCCTGGAAAGGCTGAGTTAGATTCTCAGCCACCAAAGGGATCCCATTAGCACTGCCTTTCTGGAAAGATGTGCGTGGTCAGGCACCAGGAGCCTTGCGGAGGTGCCCCTCCCTCCCGCAGTGACTGCGCGGGCTTCGGGCGTCCTGCGCAGGCTGTCCCACAGGATGGGCCCCGCAGCTCCTGCCTTTCATGCTGCCAGTTCGGCAGCTGCTGTCAAAGGAGCGTCCCTGCGTCCCTGTCTCAGCAGCCCCAGGTGGCCTGGAGCAGTCCCATACCTACCCTGAACCCATCAGGACTGGGAGATACGTTTTCTACTGGCTGTTGCTGGGTCCAGGTGTAGCTTTAGCCCCACCCAAAGCGCATGGCCCAAGGGTGGCAGGGAGATGGCGCCCCCCGGGGAGATGAAGTCCTATAACCAGAAGGCAGAAGGGACTCCGAGAAGCAGGTGCGGCGGGGGCTCTGGGAGGGGCTCATACAGGTGTAAGGAGATGACGTAAACCAGGCACAGCCTTGGCACAGCCCTGGCACAGGACAAGATGTGTTTCTCCCTTTCCTGAAGAAGTTAGGCGAAGGGTGTGGACGCTTGTGGAGGGTTGATGTATCTAACAAACCATGTCCAACTTTTTCCTAACCAAGAGCAGATTTTTTCTTACCAAGATCTGAAATCCACGTTTTTTTCTTTCACACTGAGCTGCTACGGTGACTGCCCTTTGGCATGGCATCGAGTGGTGGTGGGACTCAATTCATCCATCAAGTCAGTGTATGAAGAGCCCCTACAGTGTGCCAGGCCATGCTGCGGGGATACCAGAGAAGCTGAATGACCCTGTCCTCACAGAGTTTCACTTGTAGTGGGAGAGAGAACTAACTGACATGCGCCTAGGTAGCAGTCCGCTGTCAAGCGGTATTAAAGCCGAAAGAAAAACGCAGCTGGTGTGGGCGGAGCGTGATGGAGAGCGTGTTGGTAGGATGGACAGGATGACTTCTCCAAGGAGTGGACCTGCGCTCAGACCCCTGAGTGAAGGAGGCAGTATCAGCGTCATGGTGAGGAGAAAGATCCTGGGTACAGAGTTTATCTGATTCCCAGCTGTTTTACATTAGGCTAGTTATTTAACCTCCTGTGCCTCTGTTTTCTTATCCGAAAAATGGAAATAATATTAGGAACCTCCCTCATACAGTGGAGGGGTTAGATGAGTTTACATATATGCAAAATACTTATCCTACATTGATGTCACTAATGTTGTTTGTCTGGAGAAGTGTGTCCCAGGCAGAAGGACTCTCGACGGGCCATTTTAATCTAGTTTCTTTACTCAAAGCAAGTGAGTTAAGAAGGAGCTGCTGATACAACAAGGAGGCGCTCATGACAGGAACTGAATACCATTTACTAGGGGCCTGGTCACTGATTTAACGACATTGTATTCCGCCACATCTGGAACCCTGAGCCACACCCGCATGCTGTGTGTTTCACAATGTAATGCAGTCGTCTGAGCAGCTCATCAGCCTCTTCTGTGTGTCTTCTTTCCGCAGGGATTGACCAGGGCCAAATGACCTATGACGGCCAGCACTGGCATGCCACCGAGACCTGTTTCTGCTGCGCTCACTGCAAGAAGTCCCTCCTCGGGCGGCCGTTCCTCCCCAAACAGGGCCAGATCTTCTGCTCACGGGCCTGCAGTGCGGGGGAGGACCCCAATGGCTCAGACTCATCCGACTCGGCCTTCCAGAACGCCAGGGCCAAGGAGTCCCGGCGCAGTGCCAAGATCGGCAAGAACAAGGGCAAGACGGAGGAGCCCGTGCTGACCCAGCACAGCCAGCTGCAGGTGAGCGCCAACCGGCTGTCCGCCGACGTGGACCCCCTGTCGCTGCAGATGGACCTGCTCAGCCTGGCCAGCCAGACGCCCAGCCTCAACCGGGACCCCATCTGGAGGAGCCGGGACGAGCCCTACCATTATGGGAACAAGATGGAGCAGAACCAGCCCCAGAGCCCCCTGCAGCTGCTGAGCCAGTGCAGCATGAGGGCTTCCTACAGCCCGGGAGGGCAGGGGGCTGGGGCCCAGCCGGACCTGTGGGCCAAGCACTTCAGCAACCCCAAGAGGAGCTCGTCCCTGGCCCTGAAGGGGCACGGTGGCAGCTTCATCAAGGAATGTCGAGAGGACTACTACCCGGGAAGACTAAGGTCCCAGGAGAGCTACAGCGACATGTCCAGTCAGAGCTTTAGTGAAACCCGAGGCACGATCCAAGTCCCCAAATATGAGGAGGAGGAGGAGGAGGAAGGGGGCATGTCCGCTCAGCAGTGTCGGACCCGTCATCCGCTCAGTTCCCTGAAGTACACTGAGGACATGACGCCCACGGAGCAGACCCCTCGGGGCTCCATGGAATCTCTGGCCCTGTCCAATGCAACAGGTAGGTTCTGTCCACCTGGCCATCAGACAGCATGGGGTGATCTCGGGGTGACCTGATGCCGGTCCAGGGTGTTCATGTTGTTCCTGCCGTGTGCCCTCCCCCAGCAGGTCACTGGGGAAGGCGCGCCCAAGTTTGCGATGGCGTCTGTGATTGGGTTGCCTGAGAGCAGAACCTGAGGCAGACGTTCGATGCCTGTGAAGTGGGGAGAGGGGCTTCCAGGGAGGGGGAGTGAGAGAGGCAGGGCAGGGAGGGGGGCAGTGAAGGCTGCTGTCTGGACTGGAGCCCAGCTTCAGCCCGACCCCATGACCCCACGGGGGCTCTGGAGGATGTTGCCACACGCAGTGGTTCCCTCTTGCGACACGGACTGACACAGCACCACCGTATCAGGCAGTCACTGGCCTGGCGCTGCTGGCGAGCGGCTGGGGGGTGGGGCACGGCAGCGCCTGTTGGCCAAAGGCAACGTTCAGGAGCCGGGGCAGCTGTGAGCTGGAGGCAGTCTCACAAACCGGGTGCTGCCTGGGGCACCCCTACTCCACACCCGCTTCCAAGGCTGTTCTGAACCCCAGTGTCGCCTGAGGGAGTTGGACTTCATGTGCAGATAAAGCAAAAAGAGGTGTGAACAGAGCTGAAGGGACAGGAGTGGAGAGGACAGGAGGACGAACCCGATGCCCGCCCTCTCCCCTCGACTGCCCAGCTGGTTGGTGTGCATGTGAAGACAGGTGGATGTCCTCTAGGATGGCACAGCTCGAGGGCCGTCTGAGGGCCAGGGCCGGCCGCAGTCCACAGCGAGATAAGTACTGAAAGGACAGTGTTAGGGACTCAGCAATTTGACAACATCCAGTGCATGTTCGCTGTGCTCATTTACTGGCCCAGCTACTGACCAGTGAGGGCGCTGCAGAGCCCGTGGGTGAGCAGATGAGCTTTGCTCACATCGGTCATGGTCCGGAAGGCACATGTCAGTCCACCGTGGTTCAAATACTCTGACCTTCACCACGGTTAGCTGAGAAGTACTGCTCCACGATGCCCTAATGCGTCTCCCTCGTGGGCTGGACCCGGTACAGCAGGGTCCAATAGTCAATGAGTATGGGTGGAGATTTGCTCAGCCCCAGATGCTTGCGGTTATTTATTCATTCAACTAACAGTGACATAGCTCTTACCAAGTGCCAAACGTTGTTTAAGCACTTTGTAAATGTTAACTCAAAGTATCACTACCCTATGAAAGAGGAAGACTATTAAATTCTCATTTCAGAGTTGAAGAAATTGAAGCACAGAGAGGCTTAAGGACTTGACCCAGCTTTTGAAAGACAGAGGAGGGATTTGAACTTGTGCATATGACCCCAGAGCAATCAGTGCTTTTAATCACACCAAGCTGCAACCTAATATGAGCCCATGCTGTTAAATCTCCCACTTGTTTCAGACAAGGTAGAAATGTGCATTTTGCCCTGTCCGGGAGGCTCAGTTGGTTGGAGTGTCATCCTGCGCATGGGTTTGCAGGTTTGATTCCTATCAGGGCACATACCCGGTTGTGGATTTGATGCCCGGTTTGGGACAGTGCAGGGGGCAGCTGACTGATGCATCTCACAGTGATGTTTCTCCCTTCCTCTTTCTCTGAAATCAGTAAAAACATATTCTTGGGTGAGGAATAAAGAAAGAAACACACACACACACACACACACACAAGAATGAGGCTCTCTTCTTGTGGAGATAGTTTTTAAAAATGTACAATTTTTAAAATGTGATATTGACATAAACTCTGCTAACAAGCAGAATATGTCTCTGAGTTGCAGGATGTCTACACAGTGTTTTTAACTGCTATCCCCCTCAAATGCTTTCACATCTGTGTTCCCATTTGTTTTAGGGGACAAATAGCATGTGTCCTTACCCCCGTGTTTCAGATGAAGAAAATGAGGCCTTGGTGACGAGGCACCTTGCCTAGTGTCACAGAAGTGACCAATTAGTGCAGAGTGATCATGGCCTGGCTTCCAGCCCAGTTTGTGCTATTCTCGAAAGATTTATGTACTATATTTAAGAGGCCAGGAGATAAGTAATTCAGCCTCTGAAGCAGTTTCTCAAAGTGGGACCCACCTGCATTAGAATCACTGACTGCCTGATTCAAACATAGGCTCCAGGGCCTCCCCCCAGATCCCTGCATCAGACCCGATAGACGGGGGGGCCCACGAACCTGCATTTTAACCAGCTCCCTACTGTTGCTGATGCCAATGCATTGTCTGAGAACAGTTGTTCCTGGGTTTTTCTGTTCTTATTTTTCTGTCCTCACACTGTGACTTACAAGGCGATCAGAAGATCTGGGGTTTGGAGCGTGTTGAACAGCCACATGGTATGCTTGAAGAACATATCGTCTCTGACCTTAAGAATGTGGCGGGGACTTGATCCCCGTGATTTTTTATGGCTCCAGGGGCAAAGCAATGAATGCCCCCAGTCTCAGAGTTTGGAAGGCAGTGTGGGCCAGTCCTCACAGTAGAATGCCCAACGTGGTAGCCACTAGCTGCGTGTGGCCGCTGAAATTTGAATGAATGAGAATTAAGTGAAATTAAAATTTCAGGCCATCAACTGCCATATTTTAAGTGCTCAACAGCAATGAGCTGAATTTCAAATTTCCTTTTATTTCTAACCAATTTAAATTTCGATAGCCACATGTGGCTAGCAGCTACCCTGTCAGAGGGCACAGACGAGGGAAGTGAGCAGTTAGCATGGGCTCGATTTTAACCCCACAGCTAGTCTCTTTGTAAGTTCTCAGAGGAGCACTGGTTTTCCGGATTCTGTTAATGGATGGTTTGGAGCACCAGTTACAGAGTCAGTCCCTGGGTTCAAATCCAGCCTTCTTCACGTAGGAGCGATGTAACCTGGAGTGGGTTCCTTCGGTTCCATTAGCTTCCATTTCCTCCTCCACAACGGTTAGTGACTAAAGTACGTCCTTTGTAGGGCTTTTGTCAGAATTAAAGATAATGGATTTAAACTCACTAACATAGTTCTTGACACCTGTGGCCCTCTGAATGGTTACCTGATACGTTTTATTATTATTATTTGTTTCTCGTCTCAAACACACTGGTGCCTAATTTGGGCCTCCAGACATGTCTTGGCTGCTGACACCTCCCGGCACTGCCTGCTGTGCAGGTCTGCATTGTTTCAGGTGGGAAAAGGCTCCCCGGGCTTCTCTCCCTCCCAACCAGCAGAAGACGGGCAGGAGGGACAGGGGACCAGAGAAACCCGTTCTGTGCTCCTGTGCTCCGTGGACCTGTCAGACACAGTAGCATAGTAGAGAGACGGTCACTAGTGTTCGAAACACGGCTTCACCATTTGTCCCTGAAACAGACCTGAGCAGCCCTCGCCCCGACGCCGCGCACGGCACACGAGGACGCCGTGTGGCCTCGACTGGGAAGAAAGCCTTTTTGTGGCCAACCCTCTGACGCATATGAATTTTGCTAGAAAACTCAGTAGTCTTTTGAAGTGTTCTGAAGTGAGTATCTCTGACTGCTAGAATCTCAGCTTGTGAGTAACATGCATGTCACAAAAGGCTTAGTGAAAACACCTTGATCCTTTGGTGAAAGCCAGATTTCAGGATAATGGATTTTTCCCCTTGGTCAGCAACTTATCTTATTGAATAAGTCTGTAGTGTTTAATCTGGCACGAAGCATAATCTTTCTGTGGGCACCGTTTTTCTTAGAGCAGACCTGGGAAGACAGATCGCTGCCGTGGCGTGCCAGCCTCGGACGTGGGCTGTGGCACCTCCTACCTTGGTCAGAGCTGGGAGTGCACCGGCCCTCCTTGAAACAGTCCAGCCCTTCTGCTCACAGGCAGTGAGTCAGCCGGGCACAGCTGCCATTCACACCAGCGCCACGTGGAGCCCAAGAGGCTCTCCACCCTGCCGTTCCCTAAATGAGACCCCAAAGCAGCTTGCAGCCTGGATGATCACATTTTGAAATGGTAGTAACAACATCAACAACAACTAATATGATCGGCTGTTTATCATGCACTAGGTAGAGTTCTGAGCACCTTATGTGAACTCACAGCATCCCTACGAGGTAGATAGAGATGTTAGACCCGTTTTACAGGTGACATAAGTGAGACACACAGAGGCCACACAGGTTGGAAGTGGAAAAGAGAATTCAAACATGGGTGTTCCCACTCCAGACCTGTGCCTGGCAGAGGTGGAGGATGATGGAGACAGTAACTGATGGTCATAATCATGATAGACCACTGACTGTGACCTGACATGCTAATGACTTCACGTGTAACTTTACTTTAACCCCCCCCACCAACAACCCTGTGAGATAAGTCTGATTATTATACCCATTTTACAGATGAGTGCACTGTCACCGCCCCACAGTCACCTCTGAGGGCCAGGACCTGAACTGGGGTGTAATGCTCTGCAGAACCTTTGTTCTTCCCCTGTCTGGTGTACATCCTCATGTGAAGGGCCATGATCACAGCTGGGATATTTGCACCATGACTTGATCTGAAGGGACAAGGACTCCTTTCCCTGTGACAGCCAGTTTGTTGATGTGTCCATGTGGCTCTGGCTGGGCTAGAGGGGAGCCTTGAGGGCACAAGTGCCCAGTGAGAGCTGAATGGCAGGAGGCAAAGGTGGCAGTCCCCAGATGATGTGCCTGGGTCAGAGGCAGGAAACATAAAGGGAACAAGTGCAAGTCCGGGGTTGGCCCCAGGCAGGGGGCACCGATGGAGAGTAGACCACGGCCGCAGTGCAAGTTAGGGTCAGTTCAAGTCACTCACTGGGACCAGGTGGACCATACACTTGGAATTGGGACTGGTTGCTGCCACTGGAGACTGTCAGCCGGTCCCTGGAGAAGGACCCTGGTGTGGAATGAGGAGGCCGGGAACATGGCTGTTTTTGCGGATCAGCCAGAGCCTGTGAGGAGTGGTTGGGCCGTGGAGAGCTGGCACCTGTAAGAGTGGATGCAGGTGTGGATAGGAATGAGGGAAAGAAAAAGATGTGTCTGTTCATTCATGCATTCAGCCCG